AATGCAATTACCTGGGTAATTTTTTCAGGGGAAACACTTACCAAGGTAAGTGCATTTATCCATTTTCTTTTATTTCTCAAGTAAATAAGACAATAACCATTTTAGCTATAAAAATCTATTATTAAAAGGGGCATTTAGGTGGGAAAGTTATTTACCCACGTAGGAGATGGGTATCACTTACCCGGGTAAGTAATACTCAAGAAAATAAACTTTCTTTGGTCCCTACATAAAGCTGAAAAAAGAACATGAGATTCTTAGTCAATGGGAATGACCATCAACTTTCCCCCCTCTCCAAATCCAAAAAAGAGTGACAATCAAGTGTCCGTAGAGGTCTTAAAAGGATGATACGACCACCCTTGGGCCATACACTACAATCTCATTGAGATTAAACAAAATGCTGCTACTCTTAATATCACTTATTCTGATATATGTTTAGAGAGTTAGAGACTCAGAGTGTATGTGACTAAAGTCAAATAATTATATGTGTTTTTAGTTTGGATAGGGTGGAATTGGTGGAGGGATTTGTAATGTTTGGGCTTAGGGCAATAATGCGGAGTCCGCATCTGCTTACTACAACACATTATTAGCCACGTGCATCCTACTGCACATTGAGAACATTAGTGATGTAAAGTACAACTAATGTTCCCGATGTACGGCAGGATGCATGTGGCCAGAAATGTATTGTGGTCAGCAGATCCAAAATCAGTAAGGTGGGGCTATGTCTTCCCCTGTAATTTTTCTCCAATACAATAATAGTTAATAAAATTGCAAAGGTGGCCGCCCTTTGGAATTAAAAAAATAAAAAAAAAAAACATTAAAACCCTTATCTATATATGTACAATTATTAATAATTATTATGTGATCATATATAGTGGCTGAAATTTTATATAAATAGATAGATAGAGATAATTAGTTAGTTTTAATTACAACTTAAAATTTTAGCATTTTTGGTGAAGTAATCACAAAAGCTTCAGAGTATATGCAAAGGTGCAAACCCAATTAACTTACCTTTAGTAGGACAGTAGGGCAGTAACGATCATGGTGACAATTACTCATTAAACTCTTTTATAGTGACCAATTAATTATTTTGCTGAAAGTTGACATTAAATGGATGTACCTGAGTATTCCCTTTCTAGTTGAGAAAAGAATAAAAATATTGAACATTATCAATTGTCCCAATACACCATGGCTAATTGGCTATGCAATGCCACCTACCCAATACAACCTATTTGTGGAAACAATTTGAAATGATATAGATTGTGTTTGGTATCATTGCTCCTTCTACTCGAAATGTTTGAGGTTCATCAATAACAATTTTTTATAAAATAGGCCACTACTTGCACTAAAAAAAATTCATTTTAGTATTAAACGCAAGTACTATTGCCACTTCCTCAAGAAACCCTAAATTTGATGTTTCTATCGTAAATGTCAACACCAATCCCATGCATACTGATGTGATATTAAGGCATACAACAAACATATATATGTGAATACTTAGAATTGCTTGAAAGTTTAAACCATCTAATTCATGGAATTAAGGCTTAGAGCATATTCGTTTTCACTTAACTCTTATCTCTTACAAGAAAAATGAGTGTTCATTTTTTCTTATCTCTTACCTCTTAGTCTCCATTCATTTTTTGGTAAGTTACTTACCCGGGTAAATGCAATTACTTGGGTATGTTTTTCCTGGAAAATACTTATTTGGGTAAGTACATTTACCCATGTTCTTTTATTTCCTAGGTAAAAAAGGCAATGACCATTTTAGCCATAAAAATCTATTATTAAAAGGGGCATTTTTGTCTCATTCAAGTGTTGGCAACCTTCCCCCTAGGTGGGAAAGTTATTTACCCACCTAGGAGATTGGCGGGTAAATGGTGCCTAAGAAAATAAATTTTCTTTGGTCCCCACATAAATATGAAAAAAAAACATGAGATTCTTGGTCAATGGGAACCAAAATCCCATTGACCAACTTTCCCCCCTATCAAAATCCCAAAAAAGACCGCCCCCTTAAAGAGAAATCTTATAACATTTTGTTTCCAATGCCCCATTCTTGTGTATTGTCTGTTTAGTGTGATTTTTATGATTTCATAGCAATGTGACGAGCGGAAAAGAATTGTTCACCCTTCTAAGATTTTAAACCATGTAAATGAATCCTTATTAGAAAAAAAAAATCTTTGGATTTCTCCTATGTGCCATTTATATCTACCTTGTTAGTTAAACTCAAATATAAAAATTATACTTTGTTAAAAATAGCAATTTGTATTGATAGAAATAATAATTTATATTGATTAATTCGGAATGTTTCAGGTAGAAAAATCTTTCTTACACAAAATTATATTGATCAACCCAAAATGCAACAATAACACCACTGTACCAAACACTCCCTTATTCACTAAAAAGCAAAGCAACTATTCATTAGGGGGTGAACTCGGGTTACTGCCTTAGACTCGGGCCTATGGGGTAGGCCCATTCAAATTTCAACATAAGCCCAACCCAAACCAGCCCTAATTGCACCCCACTGGTCGTTCGGTTCAATCACTTCAGCCCCTCCTCCGCCCATACGAGTTTGCATATAAGGTGGCCCTGGGCCTATATTTATGCCCAGTTTACAGGCTAGGCTGGGCCAATGATAACCTAAGGTTAAGGTAAAATTGATGCTTTCGAACCTGGATTTGACATAAAACTGAAAATAGTTCACTGAAAACCCGTATGGTGTACCTTCCTCCCGTGATGCTTTGCTAAATTAGAATATTTAGGTAGGTGTTTGGCATCGATGTGTTGCTTTAGAGATGTTTTTTTGAGAAAATGATGTGGTATGTACGAGGGTCTGCTGCATCGTTTTCTTAGAAAATGGTTCATTTTTTTTTGTTTGAAATCGATTCTGCCACATAGGCTGTTTTCGAGGAAAAGAGTACTGATTTTGTTTGGTACCAGTGCTGTATAACCGTTTTTAGCATTGGTCTGCATTATCCAATACCCAAGATGATGCTATATTGATGCCACGCCATTGCACACTGCTAGCATCAACAGGCTGTTTTCTAAAAAAACATCGAATTTGACATTTCTTCAAACCACACTTTCCCAATTTCCAAGACATGATCTGGAACAACATTTTCTTCTGGAAAAAACGATGCCAGATAAAAGGCAGGCCGTTCTCTGAAGCACCACTTTTTTTGACATGACACCAATATAGCACCATTTCTTCAAAAAATGGCATCAATGCCAAACCCCGCCTCTGAGTATCAATGGGTTGGGTTAAAGTGGTAAACCCGAACAAGGGTGATCGGTGATCATTGTAGCACAGCCCAGAAATTTCCAGGCTTTGACGTTGGACAATTACCTTAAGCACAGCTTGGCCCACAATATTACATATATAACATACATACACATTTGTGTTTGTGCTTCTCTTGTTTTATATTATTTTATTAAATTTATATATCAAAATATCAAAACATGTATTATATATTACATAATACAAAATATTACGTAAGTGTTTTATATTGGTTGGTCAATATTTTAGTAATAACATATATAGTTGTCCAAATCTCTTTCTTTTAAACCTATTCACCAACGGGGTGTTTGATACAGTGGCATTATATTGTGGATGCAATTTGGGTTGATTAATACAAATTTGTGAATGTGTGTGAGACATCAAGTTTGATGTGATTAGTTAATTTGTATTGATCAACCTAAAACTTAATGGCAATACAATACCACTGTACCAAACACCTCCCAAATTAGGATGCTTAAAATACATTATTAGTAAAAAATTAAAAATAAATGTCTTTTCATATTTTTACCCTTTTATGTTTAATTTTAGTGTATTTAGAACTATAGGCCTGGAACCTGGCCCAGTCCTAGTCTTATAATTTTAAACCAGGGGTCTGTGCCTGATCCCAAACTAGAGCCCTTAAGACAAGTCTGGATTTACTCCTTACAGAGCACACCTCACACGGTTACTCCAACCTCATAGCACTTTAGTGGTGCACAGGAAACACCTCCTGTATTTGTATATTGTCGTTCATGAGAGATGTTCCCAATGTATGACTGCAATGTGCTATGGTATTGGTGTGAGACATGCTCTATGAGAAGAAAATCTGATCTCGTCACAACCAAGCCATGATCATCCAACCTTATAAGGGTTAGGGTCAATCTTAATTGGGTTTTGGATTGAGGTGAACCTCTCCTAAAATATCCCAATGACATTGTACCATTTAGAAATTTGTATTGTTAGGGGGTGCAAGTCGGGTGGGCTGGGCTGGGTTTAAGCTCAACCTAGGCCCAACCCTAAGATTGGGCCTAAGGCCCAAGCCTCACCCTAATGTCAAGCATAAAAGCTGAATTGTCCAACTAAGGCCCAACTAAAACTGAAATTTGATGCACTGGGATTAGTCAATCAGTCCACATTAAAATTCAATATAAAATAATAAATGTATGTATATGTATGATTTATCAAAAAAAAGTATGCAAATATTCTTGTATGCATTACACATATACGTTTATATAATATATGCATGCATGCATAAATGCATACAAATATTGTGGACCGGATCTAACTGACCACGGGTTGGGCCATCCAAATTGAACCCCTATGTATTGTAGATGTGTGATGTACATGAGATGGATCAGCTCTTTATTTGATTGGGACCATTTTACCAGCCCACTTGGCTACTTCAATGACATCATCATCTGCACGCTAAATCATACGGTTGGATGTCTAGATATTCCTTGATTTATATTACCACCTTGTATATACCAACCACTAATATTCTGACCGTTCGATCACAAGTCTATTTTTTGATTGGATGGTCTTAGGAATTGTTGGAAAAAGAGGAGCCCATCCGATTGAAGAAACAAGAATTGTAACAGAATTAACGGTAGAGATGGTTACTCTACCAACTACCAAGAATTGTGGTTGTATATTACCGTTGAGAAAATCTTGACAAAAGAAGGGCAAACTCGGAATTTTGTATTGTTCACGAGGCGTAGCGTAAAGACAGACGAGTCTGAAATTTTGTAAACGGGTTGTTCATGGAGGCTTTCTATTTCCAATTTAGGACTCAAAATCAACTCAGATCATGTGTATGTATGATCATCTCTTTCCCTCCGGTGCAAATAACAGATTAGTTTTTCGATTGATTCCTTCGCCAGAAATAAAACTCTGATTTTCTCATTCTGAAACTCATAAACCCTAGCTCTCGCAATCTTTCTCATTTTTTCATTCTCACTGTTCTGTCTTGAACTTGTAGTCAGTCAGAGTAATCGTGATCAGTCTACAATTCTTGATTGCGCAATGGGTCGTAGAAGGATCAAGATCGAGAAGATTGGGTGCAAAGAAAAACTTAATGTATGCTTTTCGAAGCGAAGGACGGGATTGTTCAAGAAAGCTAAGAAACTAGATGATCTCTCCGGTTCCAAGACTGCGATCATCATCTTCTCTCCCGCTGGTAAAGTTTTCACGTACGGCGATCCGGTAGTCGACTCCTTAATCGACCGCTACCTCCTCCTTCATCACCATCAACCGCACCGCCTTAACAAAAGCAGTGTAGCCACTGAAGATGATAACGGAAAAGTTGATCTGAACGATTCTGAAGATCGGATGCGAGAAATCGAATCTTTGTTGATGAGAGGCAAGGAGAATGTAATGAAACGTGTATGGGAGCAACAACAGAAAGAGCCTGTTATACCTAGATCTTCTTCTTGCTTTCAGGCAGCCTTGCTTCCGAATGAATCATTAGCTGGAATTTCGTCTTATTCGTCAAGCTCATCACTGGAAACTTTTGGCGTTAACGGTTTTGAGAATCCGGTTCACCTCGAGCAACCTGAATCAGCGAGCGCAGGTGTTTCATCTTCTTCTTTGTGGGGGTTTGGCGCAGTAGGTTGTGAAGCTGAACCTGAACGAACCGAGTTAGAATTCGCAACGGACCCAGTATTGCAACCCCATTTGTTCTTTGACATTGACGAGTTACTGAAGGCCTTCTCTGACCCGCTTACACCAGAAGAACCCACCGATCTGAACATTGATCATCACCAACAACAGCAGCTTGGCCGAGGATTTCAGAATGGCGAAATCTTGTCTGAATCGGCCGCAGAGAACCCACTGGAGTTTCCATCATATCATCGTGCTCTTACTCCACCTTCGCAGTCTTGGGGCGTAAAAATATAGCTCTCAGGAATCTCTTTGATATTTGGCCAGTCTCACGATCGACCTGATGAAACTCAATTTAATTAACGCTGCACGACTGTACTGATCAACTTGGTTATATAAATGGTATGCAAATTTTATTTTAATTTCCTTTTCTTGGTCAGTATCATTGAATCGTTGTGAGAATTTTTTTTTGCATGTTCTTTTTGTATCTGATTTTATTTTAATTAAAGATTGTTATATATACAATAAATTCATGCTAATTCTCATTGGTGTACAGTTAGATTTTTTTTAACCAGCTTCGTTGCTCATATTTCAACTTACAAGAGTCTTTTGTCAGGCTCAGCTAAAGCGTTCAGCTAATTCGCTTACGTGTACCCTAAAATAAAAAACAGTCAAAAAATCATCATCCAGGTCGATAGTTTGAGGACTGGATCAATGAGTTATTGACTAAATCAACATTATTTGGTGTAAGAACAAATTAAGGGTGAAACGAAATCAGTTGCTTAAACAATTTCTCAGCCAAATGGTCCAAGTGTCGGATCATCAATTAATAACGGTTTCGAAAGTAGCATGGAAGTAGAGTGATGAACAATGAAACATGTCATCAAGCCTGAAGGTCAGGGCAATATGCCTTCGAGCAGCTTTTAGAGCCTTGTATTGGACATATCTTCATATTCATGTGCTTTATTTTATGGGAAGATATTCCTGATGTAAGGTTGCAAGAGGCTGTTGGGGACGGTGTGAGCATTGGCTTACCCTATCTAAGCCGATCTCTGTTGAAGGGTGGTCCCAGAAACTTTTGCTCCATCAGTGTACGGATATGTTGCTACAATTTCATTATTTTTAATTGTTCATATATAAATAGTCAATGTAATGAATTACCCCATGCATTGCATGGTTTCCAAAATCGGACAGAATCAGATAGTTATTGAACCAGAAAAATTGGAAGCCAATCACTGTTTTACCCCAGAACCATCATTTTAGCCAAAAATCGTTAATTTGGTCGGCAAATCGCTGACCCAGGTGATCGAACCATTCAAACCGCCTAATATTTTTGGCCATTTTATTTTTTTAATTATTTTTGGTAGAACGGATTGTCTATTCAATTTAAACACCCAAGTAGTTTTGGATATTTGTGTTCAAACTTGTATTTGTATGCCTGATTAACCAAGTAATTTTGGATAAACAATAAAAAACCAAAAAAGAGAATCGAAAAATCTCTTATTACACTCTCTGACTCCGAAGTCCGAACCCATCCTATGTTGTATTGGGTTGACAAAGTAATCAAGGCTTTAACCTGTGTTGGTCAGGCTAGCTTCTCTATCGAAAAACATAAGTTGGCCAGGCTCAGGTTCGAGGTTTCGGTCTCTGGCTTGGGTTAGGCCTGGATTGTCCCTTACCCCATCCCAACCCCTGAAACATGAATTCAGCAGCAAAGTTTAATGACTCAAGTTATAGGGTGCTTACGGTTCGATTAATCGAATCCTGGTATTAAACTGGTACTACTAGTTTTTGGATAATCAGTAATTGAAATTGAATCAAAGACAATCGATTAATCGGTTGATCGATTCGATTCATTGATTTTTTGTTTTATTTATATTTATAATATATATTATAAAAAATATATAAGATATAATAAAAATTCAGAAATATATAAAATATTATATTTAAAATAATAAATATATATTTATATATAATGCATATTTATTAATTTATAATGTATAGAAAATATAAAATATATAATATGCATAAATATACCTAAATATATATATATATATCGGTTGGTTTGGTTAACTGCCGGTTTTCTATATTGGTTAACCAAAACCAAACTAGTACCTTTAGTTTTATAAAAATACCAAATCAATTGATTCGGTTAACCAGATTTTCGGTTTGGTTTCGGTTGGTTTTCCAGCTCGATTCGGTTTTTTGGTTTTTCTTGTTCACCCCTAGCTCAAGCTAATGCAATACTTATTCTTCATGTACCACGCAAATTTCAAACTTTGCTTGTTCTTGCATCTCCATGTTGAAAGACTAGGAATGGCAATGGGGCGAGGTGGGACCAGGTTTTCTATGTCCTATCTTTGACTCCCAACCCTATCGAGCCTAAAAATCCTAACCCCATCCTCTTCCCTATGCCCCTATCATTCTTACTTGCACACTTATCACAAAATCCCCACCCTTAGGAGGCCCCCAAAGGAATGGGTTGCCATCCTTAATTAAGAACATACAGAAAGTCAACAAAAATATAACTCCTCATTTTTATAGCAACGAGGGAAATCCAATGCCTTTTGAGAATAGGGAGTTCTTTCCACTATATTATGATATTTAAGTCATTTGGCTCATGTGAACACATGGAAGGTATAATAAGGTTTCCCACAATCCAAAATCAACTCTCCTTTTAACCTTTTTAAAATACACTTCAAGGCAATTGGAGCTAAACCAACTTAACTCAACTACCTTGTTAATGGCTTAAGCTGAGATTTATAATTATTAGAGATCAAAATGGCATGGGGATGTAGCACAGATGGTAGAGTGCTTGCTTAGCATGCGAGAGGTATGGGGATTGATGCTCCGCTTCTTCATTTTTATAAAATTTTAAGGTCTCGAGTAAAGTTTAGGGTTTAAAAAAATGAATTTTACCATTTTGCTATTACAATTGTTATTTTTCTCTTTTTTACCTTATGGAAACTTACAAGTCTTTTCTCGGGCTAATTAATAGGAGTTTTCTTACATAGTTACATATATTGAGTGTAAAGTATATATGTGACGCATGTTAGTGCATAAACACAGGGAGGCACAATTTGCTTGGGTCACCATATAAGGAGGTTCAAACCATTCGATTTTCCTTTTGTGCACTCCAACAGCCAAGACTTGCTTAAGTGTATTAAGATATAAATTTGATGTTTATATCATAAATCATGGTTTTCAAAACCAGACCGGACTGAACGGTTGGACCGGAAAAACTAAGAACCGGTTAGTTGACCGGTTCCGTTTTTCCCTAAAATCAAGATTTCTCAAAAAAAAAATATTGATTTTGGTCAACAAACCATTGACCTGGGCAGTTAACCGTTCAAACGGTTTTGATCGTTTTTTATTTTTTAATTTATTATTTAATTTTTTTTATTTTTTTGTCAAATTGGGTCGACTGTTCGTTTCGAACGGTTGAACTGTTCGACCCGGTAACTAGAACCCTAATCAGTTTGGTCTCCGGGTTGGTTTTAAGAACCATGTCATAAATGTTAATATTAATCCCATGTATAAATGTTATCTGATGTGATGTGACAAGACAATTTCTCAAAAATTTGTATGATAAATCCCAAAAGATGTGTTTGGTTGCAATGTAAATAAATTTGTATTAATACAAATGTATGGGAGTGCAAAAGTAAAAAATTGCAAATTCTTGTTTAATTTTGTTTTGGATTTTACTTTATTCTACTTTATGTCTTAATTTACTTTATTTGTATTGCAATCAAACAAAATAAGCTAAAATTTGAAACAAAAATAGGTCAGAATTTACACTCAAATCATTTGTACTGCCATGGTTTTGCATCAGTGCAAATTTATTTGCATTACAATCAAACACAACCAAGGTTTCTAATACAAATAGCAATGACACCAAACACAACCACAATATTCCATGTGTGGTCTACAGTACTTTTATAAGCTAAGGCATACAACAAACATATTGAATACTTTGACCCGTATCGTCCGATACATATCGTTCTGAGACCCCTCCGATATGCCCCTATAATGAGTGTATCGAAGGTCTGACCGGTTCAGGGGGTAGAGAAGACCTAAACCAGCCCCCCTGAACCAGTTGTGAAAAAGAAAAAAAAAAAAAGCCTGAAACACTATCAATTCGCCCAATACGCCCATACCGGTGTATCGGGCATATCGATATTTTGACCCTTGAGTATACATGCATATTTTAATACATCCACCATTTCCCAAGGTTACCGTAGTCTCTCTAAATTGTATACTTCTTGTTATACCTTATAACCATTTGAATCACAGATTGGGTGTCACAAATGCATTTTGTGAAATTTACAAGTTTCCCATGTATATCCATCCGTATCCAAATGGTTCCACTATATATTCATGCATTTTCGTGTCCCCCAAATTATTTTAAAACTGCCTTAGCGATACCAAATTACCAATACTTTGAACTTCGAAACAGACCTATATTTGAAGTTTTGAACCGTAGAGGTTGTTGATTGCAACAGATCATTATTTTCTATCAAAATCAGTGGCAGAAATGATTTCAAGAGATTAACATTTCCAATTTACAATCACAGAGGTTAACATAATAAGAAAATCAACTTTTAACAGCCTCAGCACCTACAGATGTATGAATGGATGATACACACGGAAACCAGTAGCGTCGCTTACGATCTTTGTGGCCGTCATCAATCATTGCAAGCCCCTCCTGTGTAAATAGAATTTGAGAATATGAGATACTACCAATAACAACAATAATTCAAGTAAATAAACCTTCCATAAGAAAGCAAGTACTTACTTTCAGGAGAGTTTCAAGGCAGTCAGTAACACGGCCAGATGACCAGGAAAGCTGCCTCTCTACCTCTTCCACAGTCACGTAACCTTGAGCCTAAGAGGTTTCAAGTCCATGCCAAAAGGGTATTAGAGTAATGGTCTCTGTGATTACAAAAATTAAAGCCGTGTACTGTCTCATTCATTCCATTGTTTTTATTTTCTAGTAGAACATAAAACTAATGCAAAATGTACTTCTCACATGTAAATGATTCTACTATTCCTAAGAATTGGAAATTTTGTGGGGTGTTTGCCATATTTATGATTTAATTTTGTGGAGAGCACCGGATTAGATTCTAATAAAAGTCTTGGTTACTTGTCAAAAGTCAGCCACCAGTGCTAGGAACCCAGTGGGAGGTTTCTGGACATGACCTTTATGTTGGGATCTCCCACATGGCCACATTATTCACAGGCTAAAATTCTGATTTGTTTTTGTTATGGCTCCGTCAAAACCAAGCACCTAAAGATATTGCGATTTTCAACGACACTTGGACTGCATCTGGTTGCATGTAAAACGAAGGCAAATAAATGATTTCCTTGGAAAATGGTATTCAATAGAAAGAACAATTTTCCTAATTTACCAATTAGTTTGATTTTCACATGGAAAACAAATCTAAATTGTTGAGAAACATACAAGTGTCACAAATTTTGAGTAAAGAGAAACAATCTTTTTGGAAAATGACAAAAATATTAGATATTTGTCCACATTTATTCCTCAATTATTTGGAAAAACATTTGTTTCAGTGGTCATGTATATACCAGGGTTCAATCCCGAGTCCCAGGTTTGACTCAAGACTACTAAAAAGAGGAAAGAAGGAAAAAAGGAATAATATGCAGTAAACCATTCTGTGAAGCAGATTATTCAATTTGAAAGGAAAATAAGAGAAGAAAATAGACAAACCTGGGCGAGTTCCAAAATTTCATTATGGTCTTTGTTCAATTCAGTAGGAACAGAGCGCACAAGCTTTTTCTTTCCAACCGAAATAACCTCATAACCACCACCCAGTACCTAAAAGAAACCAATCATCACAATCAAGTAGAAATTTCATAGAAAGTGACATGGCCTATGGGGTTATCCAAAATGTTTCATATCATTCCCATGAAGCAAGACAATCCTGCAAGCAGAGTATCGGTGCATGCACTATGGAAAATCATTTAATATGCCTCCACCAAGAGATCACCTCCATGACCTGAATGATCAGTTTTTTTCCTGGACTCTTCACTTGTTTTTTATTTATCTTTCCCCCATTTGATTCTCATAATATGAAGCTTATAATCATTCAGTGTGTTCGCTTGTAGTTAAAGAAATCTGTGGTTGGTCCAACTAAATCAAGAGTTCCACCACTATCCAATGCGCGTATTGCACCGTCATAACTAGCATTCTGTGGAAAACATGTTGGATTTGATCTAGAATACATGACGTAGCAATGAAAGCAGTAAGTTTCATTGATACCTTCAGCTTATTAATAGCACGCAAACAATCATCCTCAGAGACAGATTCACGAGCAGCCTTTCGCCTTTGACGAAGACGACTGCAGAGTTCCTGCAAGTTGATCAAACCTCCATTTTCAGATCTTGTTTCCAAGCAAATGTCAACAATTTGTACCCCTGCCTAGACAAGAAAGAAGCCTCATCTCAGTAGAAGTAATTCTAGAAAAATTAAAATTCAAACTTAACCATTTCATAATGGATAACCATTTACAAAAAGTAGTAATATGAGGAAGTAATGTTTTTAAATGGCATAGAAACAAATTTCTTGCCCAAATTTCATAGACAAGCACCTTTGTGTGCGTGTGTGTGTGTGTGTGTTCCATTAAATGAAATTGATATTAAGAAGAATCCTTCAATTCCTCCTATTGATCTTCAATTTATATTCTTGATCTTCTAACTAATCCCCAGAAATCTTCTCTTTTGCTTCTCAATTGCTGCTTGTTAATCAATGAGAAAGAGAAGCCAGCAAGAGAGAGCAAAGAAACTTCAGATCTGTTAGGTTTTATCAGTCAGATCGAACCAACCCAGAAAATATGAATTTATATTAAAAGGTGAATAGACAAGATTATCCTTACAAAAGAAATAAAGAGACAAGGCAATACACTAATATAAACACCTAATAATATACAGTAGAGGGTAAAAGTACAAAACTACCCTCCATCTTCTCTACACTCCCCCTCAAACTGATGCTAGGGAACAAACATCAATTTGTCTATAAGAAAACTATGTTGGGCTTTAGTCATAGCTTTGGTGAAGAGATCTACAAGCTACAAGCCCAAGGAGACGTGAGAGAGAGATGTGACTCACAAGGAGAAGGACACGAATGAAGTGACAATTCACTTCAATGTGCTTAGTATACTCATGAAAAACTAGGTTGGATGCAATCTTGATAGCACTCATGTTATCAGCAAATAGAGGGATGGCAGATGAAAATGATCAATGTCCATATCACGAAGTAGCGCCTTGAGCCAAACTATTTCACTACATACAAAAGACATTGCTCTATACTCCGTTTCCGTAGATGACTTGGAAACTATTTGTTATTTCTTGCATTTCTAATAAATCAAATAATCTCCAAGGAAGATACACTAGCTAGTAGTAGTATGACGAGTGTCAGGGTAGCCCACTCAATCAACATCTATATAAGCTCGGAGATGAATAGACGAAGAAGATGAGAAAAATAAACCATGAGAAATTGTTCCCTTGACATAACGAATGATCTGGAGAACTAAAAAGTGGGGCTGGCGTAAAGCATAAACAAATTGGCTAACTAGTTGAACAGCATAGGAAATATCTGGTCTAGTCATAGTGAGGTAGATAAGACTACCTACAAGTTGTCGATATAATGTAGCATAAGGAAGAAGCTCACCCTCATCCTTACTTAGCTTCTGATTGAGATCTAGAGGTGTATCAACTTGTTTAGAATCAATTAGGCGAGCCATTACAACTAAATTAGAGGCACATTTCTATTGGTTGACAAAATATTCTTGAGGACACCGCTGAATTTCAAGGCCTAGAAAATAGGTGACCAGCCCAAGATCTTTCATTTTGAAGGAGCTGCTGAGGAGTTTCAAGTTATTAATGCCTTCCACGTCATTTCCAGTGATAAGGATATCAACATAAACCAAGAGGAGAGTCAACCTTGTGCTCGCTTGAAGGTAAAAAGACAATAACCTGATGCACTTTACTGAAAACCAACCTCCACCACTGTACGAAAATGATCAAACCAAGCTCGTGGAACTTGTTTAAGACCATATAATGATTTCTTCAGTTTACACACCAAGAGGGGGTTATCACAATATCCAAGAGGTGATTTCATATAAATCATCTCTTGTAAATGCCCGTGGAAGAAGGCATTCTTGACACTCATCTGATGAACTGTCCATTTTCTAAGAGAAGTAATAGCCAAAAGTACATAAGAGTTGTCATTTTAGCAACTGGAGCAAAAGTTTCATCATAGTCAATCCCATATTCTTGCTTATAATCTTGAGCAACCAAAAAGGCTTTATACCTGTCTAGAGTACCATATGATTTGAGCTTTATTGAATAGACCAAATGGCTACCAATGATGGAGGCATCTGGTGGAGGAGAGACAAGCTCCCATATATCATTCTCTAGTAGAGCATGAACCTCTTGAGTCCATGGAATCTTTCCAATGCTTAACTACTATAGCCTGGTGGTATGAATCAAGAATGCATGTAGAGGACTAAATAGCAAAAAAGAGCTATGGCTAGAGAAGAAATCATAGCAATCAAATTGGCGAAAAATACGCGAAGATCAATGCAAAGGAATAGGTGAAGGTAAGTCAATAGGATGAGAGGAGGGACTTATAGTGACCAATCACTTCATCACTGGTGCTGGAGGTGGAGAAGACCTAGGCATTGAGTGAGATAGATGCTTCCTAAAATAAACGTATAGTTGCTAAGGACTGAGAGGAGGAGGATCACTTGCAAAACCAAAATGATGCAAAATAGAAAAAACGGTGCAGGCAATTTGTTTATGTGCTCAAAGAAGAAAAGATTCTCAAAAAAAATGACATTACGGGATATGCACAATCGACGGACCTTGGGATCATAACAAAGAAACCTTGTATTCCATACTATATCCCATGAATGCACACATAGTTAATTGAATAGTTAGTTTTGTGTGTTCATGGGGAGGGAGATAGACAAAGCAGACACAACTAAAGACACAAAGCATGGATAGATTCAATGGGCACTGAAACAAAGATTCAAAGAGAGAGGAATCTTCAAGGATAGATGTAGGAATGATATTAATAAGGTATACAGCAGTACTGGTCGCCTCCACCTAAAAGGTAATAGGAACACAGGACTCTTGCAATAGGGATCTCATCATACTAGCAATGTAACAGTTCTTGCACTCAGATACCCCATTTTGTTGAGGTGTATCTGGACAAGACTTCTAAAACTGAATGCCATGTTGTTTGAGATAGGTTTGGAACTCACCATTCTCACCATCAAAGTACTCTCCCCTTGAATCCAATCTCAAAATGCTTATACCACTTTTAAATTGGGTCAAAACCATGGCATGAAAATTCTTAAATGTGGGAAAAACTTCTGATTTCTTATGAAGAAAATAAACCTACGTGTATCTAATACAATCATCAATAAATAATATAAAATATCTATAACCCAATCATGAAATAACAAGTGACAACTAAACATTACTGTGAATGAGGTAAAAAGGTGTAGATTCTGTAGAAGCATGTTCAGTAAAAGATGAAAAAGGTAAAACATGAATTTTACTAATAACAGCAAGTTAAGCAAGATTTATCAACATTTAGATGTGGACAGAAAAACAAATTACATGCAACACTTCAAGTATACAGCAATAAGCACAAGAAATACCAAGCTGAAAACACAAAATAAGATAGATTTTTAGGGATTTCAGACCTAAACCTAAAGTAAAACTCCTCCTAGAACAGTCCCGCTACAGTAACAATGGCAGCAAGTTGGCCTCCCGTGCGGACACGCAGCGATGGAGGGATCGGAAGGTGCCAAAATGGGTCAATTCCTCAAAACCCAAGCTCCCAATACTTGAAAACCCTAGCTGGGGCTGAGCTACAGCTCAAACAAGAGAGTAAGAACTAAAAGACCCCCACAAAAACAGCCCCCTTTCTCTTTTATAAGAATCGCTGGCTTGCTGGACAACCTAGCTAAAATATTTACACATAAACCCCTAGAATGTGTTTTTTTCACAAACAACTTCTTAAGAACAAAACTAACTACAAGCCAACCCCCCAAAAGATAACTTTCATTACAAAAAGACCCAAGAGACCAAAACCCAACAGATGTACACCCAACTTCCCCTGACCAGAAACTGAATTATAAAACAACGAAAATACCCCTGGGCCCAAACTATCAACAAAGCTACCTAAAAACAACAATTTGGGATCCTACTACAAAAACATGCAAAACAAAATACATTCACATTTTTTTCTTTTTTGTTTTTTGTCGGGTTAAAAAGAGCTCAACCTCATGCGAGCAGCAATTTTAGCAGCCTTGCACATGCCTCCATCTAGCCTCATAAACTCTTCTTCACTAATTCAAGAGTTCTCAATTGTTGTTCAAACTCATTAGAACTCCTAGCCCTTTGTGCTTGTCCTTGCTCAACCTTTGTTGCTGGTTCTAGATCTCCATGGTAATCAAAGAGGTCTGCTACATTAAAAATAAGTGAAATGGACAAATCAGCTGGTAGTTCAACTTCATATGCATCATCGCCAAACTGTCTCAGCACTTGACATGGCCCAATCTTTTTCTACTTCAACTTGTAGTAAGTCCTAACAGGGAACCTCTCAGGCCACAAATAAACCATGACTAGATCACCCTCATGACACTCTTTCTCCCAACGATGCTTATCTTTAGCTTCTTTATACCTTCGATTGCTTTCTTTCAGCTTCTATTGTACATTTTCTTGAATCTCCTAAATGGATTCAACTAAAGCCTCGGCATCATCACCAGGGGTGGAGCCAGGGGTGGCAGAAGGGAGCCATGGCCCCCCTATGCCTTGAAATTCCCTATAGTAGCCATTTAAATTTTACATATATTTTGCCCCTCTTACCCATGTTTCCTATCTTTTGCCCCCCCTATCCATGTTTATTACGATTTGGCCCCCACCAATAAAAAATCCTACCTCCGCCCCTGATCATCACTAACTTGTCATGACCCTATTATAGGGACTAGATCAACAACACCTTTAGGTGCCCGACCATACAGAACCTCAAAAGGAGGACTGTTATAGGGACTAGATCAGCTAAAGATTCACAATTAGTAATTGATGCTCTAGCAAAAAGATTCAATGCAACATTTAGTTGGGTAAGGAGACTACTAATGGGATGGCAGATGCAGATGCAAAACAAGGTGTTGACAGACATCTTCTATATTGGGCAAGATTATAATATGTTGTAATCTGAGAAGGGGGAAAGGTTTATTGAATCTGCCAATCTATACTAAATGTAATAACTTCTATAAATCATTAATGAAATTTTTACTAATAAAAAAAAGTGAAGTCATTCGAAAAAAACTAGGAGTTGCTCCAATAGGTCATAAATTGATAGGAAGTAGACTAAGATGGTTGGTCACATGCATAGAAGACCA